AAAGGTGCTCTGGCTTTCGGACATATTTGTTAAAGAGACTGCCTCAAAGTGGTATTCAATTTTACATACTGAAGTGGAGCAAGACTGTGGCTGTGTCTCCAAAAATTACCAGACCTGGCAGTTAGTCAAACCAATTTAGTTTAGGCTGGAGTAGCAATTCCTTTTATTTCAGGACTTGATTGCTATTCTTTGAAACTACTGAACCAAAAATACAGACTACAGCGTTGAGTATGCATTGAACATGGCACATATTACTTGGAAACAGAAGTTATAGGTAGCTGCCAGTTGTTATCTGCTTATAAGCAAAACAAAGTAACAACCACAGTAGTCAAAGCTAAAAAGAGCAACATTTTCAGAATTGTCCAAAACATAGAATATGGTGCCATCCGAAACTATGGTCCAAGAGCTAGAATACTTTGTTCTAAACTTCTCTATCTCTTTCAGGGGCAGCTTTTAGCAAACATATGATTTAATCATATTCATTATACATGTGAAAACTGCAGCTGACATTTCCACTTCCCTACGACAACGTTGCCAAATCGAACCGCTTTGTTACTTCCCCTTTGTTTCAAGAGAGCTCCTGGAGGCACAGCAAGCATTGACTGATTCACAGGAAGGCTCATTGTAAAAATATCTTACAAGTTTAAACAACAGCAAACAACAGTTAAACCCTGTGAACAAGATTACTTTATAGGAAATAGTTTTAAAACAGAAATATTCAAACTTTGTCATAGGTAACCCACCTGCATCAAGGAACAAAAATACCCAAGTATCACACTCATAAAGAAAGACTGAAAGGGAATGCTTACTTAAACTGTTTTTTCATATTCAGCTCACAATGATAGAAATATTTGTAAAGAAAAAATATATTCAATTCTAATTCCACTAGAAAATAAAGTACTAGAGGCAAAAAAAAAAAAAAAATCAGCTGTCAAGTACAGTTGAATGCAGGCACAGATGAATGCTCATTGAAGTGTTAAAAGGAGCAGAAGAGTTAAGTAAACTGTATGTTAATAAATATGAAACATATTTGTGTAGCGAAGAAGGAAAATGCAAGGCAGTGTGCAGATTATGATCAATAGCCCTAATTCCTCATACAAGCACAATTTTGCTTAAGACCTTACAAAGAAAAACAGACAAATGCCAAAGGAACAGTTAGTTTAGGAAAAATGGAGAGACAAGATGAGACAGCTAAGTTAAGGTAGATAATGGAAAGAATGTAAGGAGAATGTTTACTTTTGCTTTATTGACTATAGCAAAGCCACTGATTGCGTAGATTATGCCAGAATGTGGACTATATTAAGGGTAATGTGTCTACCAGAATACCTGCCTTTTCTCCAGAGAAAAAGAAGACTAAGAAGCTGCTATTAAGAACTGAGTTTGGAGAAGAAGAATAAGGAAGGCAATGAGACAGGATACATACAGTCATCACACTGTTTAACTTGCACACTGAATATATTACCAAGGTGTTGTTGTTTTTTTATTGAACCTGTATACTGCCAAATCCCAGTGGACTCCAGTTGGTTGACAATGACATACATGAAATGATTGACAGCTGGAATCAAAACTGGAGCTTAAAACACTAATAATTTCAGATATATTGAAGACCACTGAAAGTTGAAAAAGAAAAAAAAGACTCAGAAGAGCTTTTTAGGAAAGAAAAAATGGTAAGCGAAAAATCTGGGTTAATGTTAAATATGAAAAGAAAAGGTAATGCCAACCAGCCTTAGGTGATTCGTAGTGTTACAGAAGCAAAGGTTCTAACAATACTTAGCTGTAGAAACTTTTTGCCTTCAACTAATAGGAAGAAATAGTGCATTTGTGCTATCCTCCATAAATATAAAACCTCCAACCATATCCATATCAGTACTCATCAAAAGAATTCCTTTTTATTTTTTTTTAATCCTATGGTTAATGGTACTTGCCTCTTCTTTTGGATGTCACTACAAGCATTTCCAACGTTACAGAACTACGCTATTCACGATAGATACTTTTATTGTCAACCTAAATTATTTTCCTTCGTGTTTATACTGCAGCTGATTATAAGTTACAAGTAGACCTCGCTTATACTGACTGCCTCATGCAGCGACCCTTCGAAGTTACAGTGGTGCTGACAAAAATAACTTTGTGAGCAAGGCATGCATTTACTTTGCAATGTCTCTCTCAGTCACGTGTTTGCCCATGTTGTCCTGTGCCTGACCCATTTTTTTCCCCCCTCGCAGAGTGGACGGATTGGAGAGGAAGGGATTACAAGACAGTAAGGAGGCACGCAGTGGGGAATACACATCAAAAGGAATGCTCTAGCACTGGCTGTTTGCCTAGCGCACTCATGACTCCCAGCCCTGAGTGCGCTAGGCAAACAGCACTAGCACAGTCCTTTCAATATGTATTCCACATTGTGTGCCTGCTTACTTGTTGTAGTCTCTTCCTCTCCAATGAATATAAATGCAAACATTAATTCCGTTCTTGCTAATTATCCCAGAGCCCAGGTGAGCATTCCAAAGGGTGGAGGAGTGGAGAAAAAGGAAAGCTGAAGTACAGTTCTAAGCACACTTGTGGTCATGTGATTTTCCACTTAGTGATGGAGTTGCTGGTCTCAATTGTGGTCACTAAATGAGGACTACCTGTATATAAATGCAAGTTTTGCTACGATAGCAGAGCAGAACAGAGTATAGCATATTAATTTATTAATTAAACTATATATTAGTAAATTATTAATGGATGTTGTTATGCAGTTTGCTCATATTATTACTATAAGCTTCATGAATACAGCCCAGATTTGTTGTTTACTAAAAAGCTCTTTGAATTTTGTACCTATTAGCACTTTGACTTGCCTTCACAGAACCAAGCAGTAAAGAAGTGTTAGATACTATGTTGATTTCTAGGTAGATCTCAGGGACTTGTTATTACAACTTAAAGTTCTTTAGAAATGATATTACTTTGTGAATGACTAGTTGATTATATCCTTATCAATTTATATATGTTAAGGTTCTTGTAGGAATGGAATTCTATTGAACGATAAACAGCGTAGAAAACTCATTATAAACCTGGAAATGCCATAATTGATTAGTTTCATAATCAGAGTACATATAATACAATGTAACTCCAAAAAAGCTGTATCAGACTAATGAGTTGTATGCTCTGTTAGATATTAATTAGTTTTTTTGTAATTCTTAGAAAAACATAAGTAATGTGTTCAGGAGTCACTAATCATGATGCTTTTGTTTTAAAGGCCAGCCGTAATACTGTTACAAAATCATGGGATTTGATCCCATGTGGATTTATAAATAATTAATCTTACTGCCTACCACAATACCTTATTTTAATGTGCACTTATGCAACAAGGCACAGCACAGTTTAGAGAGGGAGAGGAAAAGAGATTGATTGGAAAAGAGAGAGCAGAAGCTTCCTTTTTTTTTTCTTGTAGACTCAAGGATATACACTAAAAGGGAAATTAACCATAACTGTTCAGCATACCAAAACATCATTATCCCACTAGGTTCCAGTCACCATGTGGATTTTAATAGTGACTGAATCTTATCTGGAGTAATTATACAACTCTTCATATTGTTTAGTCTTCATGAGTTCCACTTCAGGCACAGAGTCAGTTTTGGAAGAGAAGATTCAAGAGATCCTTTTTAAGATCTGCTTCTCCAGGCCACCTTTTTATCCACTCGGATAGTCAAAGCTAAGACCTTTCCTTTTGGTTGTCTGAAGATGACTGAAATATAAGTGATCACCTTATGCTTCATAACAGCAAATCTCCCCAATTTGATTAATTCCATGATTTCTTGCTCTTCTCTTGGCATCAAGCTTTTCACAAACCTGATCAATGGACCCATATTCCCTGTAAGAGACCAAGATGTAGTGAAGCAGGTATGAGAAATGATAATTCTCATTCTTTTTTAATTCTCCTGCCAAATCATGCCTTGGGGCAAGTATATGGCAGCTTTTACAAGCATCATTTTCTCATCCTATTCTGTCCTCCAAGACACTACTTCAAGGCAGGTCTTACATCAGAATTATATCCTTTCATAGGGTCTTGAAGAAAGTTCACTGTATTTTCTCTTCAATCAGTTAGTTCTACATCTTTTGCGACCATTTGGCTTCTGATTTTTTTCTGCCAATGAGTCACATGAACCACTACATTTCCTAGTGGAGCTCATGCTGATTTCTCTGAACCCTATTGTTATGCCTGTGATGCATTCTCTGTCTATTCTTCTGGCATCCGTTCCATTTAACGGAAAGTAGTATTTTCTGTAACATTGGCCCACATCAAACTGGAGTCAAATTGTGCACCATACAGAGATTCCTCCCTTTCTCATCTTTCACATGGACAGACTAGTTCTTTGTCAGATATTTTCAGATATTTTCTTCCTTCCAAATTGGTCTCAATCTTCCACTTGGAGCAAGATATTATATTGATTTCTTTCTCCATCCATCACACCTCTAAATGGATAGTGGCAACCATCAAATTTTATTACCCATGCCCCCTTTGGATCTACACTAATTCTGTAAGAGAAATAGTAGTATTGGCAACATTTCTCGAGGATATTTCCTTATACTGGACAACCACATGAACTCAGTCTCACATCTTTATCCAATATTTTATATTGGATGTAATTGAAATGGCTATCCTCTCTAGTCACCTTATGAAATTGGATGTTCTTGCAGGTGAAAAGCTTGCTACTTACTCATGTATGTAGTCATAGACTAAAAGGAAGAAGAATTGGTTCTTTATAGACAACTTTAATTCTGTTTGGTCCAAAGTGACCTTATTATTTTTCTGGATCTGTTCTCTCAGTCTTAAGAACTAAACAGGCTCAGGAAAGGCCACACATAGAACGTGGTATACAACTTGTGGGACAAGGCTCTCAATAAACACTCTTGTAAGATCTTGAAGGTTCCAGCAAGGCTCTATCAGGTCCTAGCTTGTACGTGTATTTACTGTACTGATGAATGCTATTACAGGTAATAACCAGGATTTTTTTTTTTTTTGCATGTTTGATCTCCCTCCTGCTAGTAATCAAAATGGATTACAAGTATCAAAAGGAAGTGTTTTCATAAACGTGAGTGATAACTTCTTAAATTGTTTACAGTACAGTTCTATAAATGAGTCAGCAATGACCCTTTTCCTCCCTGCATCTCTTCTTTGTATTTTATATACAGGTAATCCTTGGCTTATGTCCATTCATTCAGCAACCGTTCAAAGTTACAGCGGCGCTAAAAAAAATTGACATACAACCAGTCCTCAAAGTTCCAGCTGTTGCAGCACCTTTGTAGTCATGTGATTGCAAGCTGGGCACTTGAGTGCCGGGCTTGAGATTACAACGTTGCAGCAAGCCATGGTCCCATGATTGCCACTTGCAACCTTTCCTGCTGGCTTCCCACAAGCAAAGTCAATCGGGAAGTCGGCAGGGAAATTTGCAAGTCGCTTTGGTAAGTTGCTTCTGCTGCCTTTTTTCCTGCCCACAACACCTCCCTGCCCAAACACGGCCTCCGCCAGCTTCCCCAGACCCACATGTGGCCTGCACTGATTCCTCCAAGGTCTCCCCCAGCCTCCCCCACCTCCCTGCGGACCCCCCCCAGCCCCCTACAGCACCCTGAGGCTCCTTACCTGGGACTCCTGCCTCTTCCCACTTAACAACCTGCACATCTTGAGGTTATGACGGCAACCAGGATGGCTGTGATTGCCATCACTAAGTGATGCGGTCACATGATGTTGCACTTTATGACCACATCTCTTAGCAATGGCAACTCCAGTCCCAATTGCCATTGTCACCTGAGGACTACCTGTATGTATATATTTCATAAACACCTCTGTGAAATTGTTTAAATATCCATATTTTGGCTTCAGAAAAAAAAAAAATCTTAATTGCATCTGATATGCTCCACATATATTTGAAAAATATTAGCAGATCAAGATGTGGCTTCCAAGAAGGCCTGTACCAGTATATTTTATACATTTGCTATAATCCATCCATGTATTTTTCCATGAAAAATTGGTGGCTGATTTAGACATTAAAAAAAAAAAAAGCTGTTTAGTACAGTATATGCACAGGATCATCACGACCACTAGAGGGCAGGATAGAGCTAGAGTTTTCTGTATTTGCTGTTGTCTAACGGTTACCTGGATTTTTACAGCCCCAAAATTGTTGCATCTGTTGTATCCTTGCAACCCTAATGATGAAGAAAATAGACTCTGATAGGAAGGGGGAATAAAATGAGCAGAAGAATATCAGGGCTATTTAAAGTGTGTTTCAGGAAAAGGTGAAACTGCAAGGAAAATTAGATTCTAACTTTTGATGCTGAAGTGCAATTAAAATGTAAAACTATTTATTTGTTATCTGTTTATTTGGTTTTATATCCTCTCTTTCAGTAAAAAGCCCAATAGCTTCCTTCTATTTTTTTTAATATGGTGCAAAGATTGTGAAGAGGGAGAAAGAATAGTGGCCCAAAATCTAGGGAAAAAAATTAAAGCAATGAAAACTGAAGAAAAAAGAAAAAGGAAAAGGAGAAGGAAGGAAGGAAGGAAGGAAGGAAGGAAGGAAGGAAGGAAGGAAGGAAGGAAGGAAGGAAGGAAGGAAGGAAGG